AACAAAAAACAATAAAAAAGGTTAAAGGGAGGAGGTGTGTAAAAAGAAAGGGCAAGAGACTAGAAATAGGTTAAAAGAAATGAAAACATTCTTTGAATAAAAGTAATTTTTAAAAATATAGACTCTTACACTCCATATAGTCTTATAAAATCAACCGTGATGATTTATTTATGCAATACAGAAGGGACTTAATATCTTAACAGTTTAAAGCACATGTGACCTATATGGTTTTACAGTTAGAATCACAACTGTTTCCCACCAAATGACATATCTATAAGAAACAGAAGAAACCTCTAGTGCTTGTCCAACTTCAACAAGCAGAAAAACAAACTAGAAGGCTTGTTAAAACACAGGTTCCTAGGTTAACACAGATTCTACAGGGAGGTTCTAGGATTCTGCATTTTAACAAGTTCTCAGTGAATGCTGCTGCTGCTGGTTCACGGAGCACACTAGAGTCTATCTAAATCCAGAATCTGACTGTATAAGGGTGAGTTGTCCTCGAGGCTGGAAGCTATGCATTCAGGGGAAAAAGGTGGAAGATGCCATAGTCTATGATGACTCTGGAACCTCCAGCCCATCCTTGGATAGTATTCTGTGATACCAGGGATGAACAACCCCTTGTAGGGCCTAAAGCCAAGTATGAGGATCATAGATACAAAGGGTGAATGTCACAGAGCATCACTGCATGAGTTCCTGATTTGCAGGTTATGCTGGCTGCTGTTCCTGGATCCTCTGCCAACCCCTCAACAGAATCCACTGCCAGCACAGAGGAGCAACTATGACAAAATCTTACAACTTTTAGAAAATCCTGTGAGGAAATGGATGGAGAAAGGAAGGCCCTGAAAAACAGTGCCACCTTGGGGTAATTGAGACCAGGGACTAATTCCAAAACAATGGCTGTTCCTCTTTGAGGTCTCCGGTGGTCACATTTTGAAGAGAGTGACTTGGCCAACTGACTGGAAGAGATCCATATCTGTACCCATTCCAAAGGAAGGTGATCCAACAGAATGTGAAAATTATTGAACATATCATTAGTATCACACACAAGTAAAATTTAGCAGAAGATAATTCAAAAACAGTTGCACCAGTACATTAACAAGGAAATTCCAGAAATACAAGCTGCATTCAGAAGAGGACGTGGAACAAGGGATATCATTGCTGATGTCAGATGGATCTTGGGTCAAGGCAAAGAATACCAGAAAGATGTTTACTTGTGTTTTATTGGCTATGCAAAAGCATTTGACTATGTGGATCAAAAGAAATTATGGATAACATTAAGAATAATGGGATTTCCAGAACACTTAATTGTACTCATAAGGAACCTGTACATAGACCAGGAGGCAGTCATTTAACAGAACAAAGGGATACTGCGTGGTTTAAAATCTAGAATGGAGTGTCTCAGGGTTGTATCCTTTCACCATGTTTATTCATTCTGTACACTGAGCAAATAATCCAAGAAGTTGGACTATATGAAGAAGAACATGGCATCAGGATTGGAAGAAGACTAATTAACAACCTGTGATGTGCAGACAACACAACTTTGCTTGCTGAAAGTGAAGATGACTTGAAGTACTTATTGATGAAGATTAAAGACTACAGTCTGCAGTATGGATTATACCTCAACATGAAGAAAATGAAAATCCTCATAACTGGACCAATAAGCAGCATCGCGATAAATGGAGAAAAATTCAAGTTGTCAAAGATTTCATATTACATGGTTCCACAATCAACACCAATGGAAGCAGCAGTCAAGAAATGAGACGTCATATTGCACTGGGCAAATATGCTGCAATAGATCTCTTTAAGGTGCTGAAGAGCAAAGGTTTCTCTTTGAAGACTAAGGTGTAAGACTAAAGTGTAAGACTAACCCAAGCTATGGTATTTTCAATTGCCACACATGCATGGGAAAGCTGGATAATGCATAAGAAAGACTGAAGAAGAATTGATGCTTTTGAGTTGTGGTGTTGGCAAAGAATACTGAAAGTACTTTTGATGTTGTTATGTACCATTGAGTTGGCCTCAACTCATAGCAACCCCTCCTTGGTTTTCTGAGGTGGTTTCACTACAGAAGTAGATTGCCCAACCTTCCTTCTGAGGAGTGGCTGGTGGGTTTGAACCCCCAGCCTCCTGGTTAGCAGTCAAGTGCCTTAGGCACTATGCTACCAGAGCTCCTACTGAAAGTACTATGGACTGCCAAAAGAACGAACAGATCTGTCCTGGAGGAAGTGCAGCCAGAATGCTCCTTGGAAGCAAAAATGGCCAGACTTCCTCTCACCTACTTTGGTCATGTTGTCAGAAGGGACCATTCCCCGAAGAAGAATATTATGCTTGGTAAAGTGAAGGGTCAGCAAAAAAGGAGAAGATCCTCAACAAGATGGATTGACACTATGGCTTTAACGATAGGCTCAGGTGTAGAAAGGACTGCGAGGCTGGGGCAGTATCAGGCAGTGTTCTGTTCTGTTGTATGTAGGGTGGCTATGAGTCAAGAGCCAACTAACTGGACAGCACTTGTTGCTAAGGATGTGTGTCAACTTGACTGGGCCATGATTTTGAGTGCCTTGGCAGTTGGATATAGTTATTCTGCATGATGAGACTGGATATGGTGTAATCACCTCCAGGGTAGAATCTCCTGTGAGCATCTAATTAGTTGAAGAGCAGTTGCATTCAGGGTGTGTCCTGCTTCCAGTATATTTGCAGAAACTTTGAGAAAGGTCTCTAGCTTTTTGTTCATTTTGAGATCCTGCATTTGCCCAGTCATCATCTCCAGTTCCTGGACTTGAACCAGTGGCCTATCATGTTACCTGGCAATCTTGGGATTGTTGCTTTTGCAATTGTAAGCCAACAATCTCTCATTTTGCCTGCTGATTGATCTTAGACTCATCAGCCTCAGCAGCCAGCAGCTGCATAAGTCAGAAGAAGCTTCCATCTCACTCCAATGGGCCTGGAAGGCAGAGCTGAAGCCCCAGTCAAGGCACCTCCACTCAGAATCCAGAGACAGAAAGTCTTCCCCTAGAGCTGGCACTCTGAACTCAGACCTCTAGCCTAGACTTCCCCTAGAGACAGCACTCTGAATTCAGACTTCTAGACTCCTAAATTACAGAGAATAAATTTCTGTTCATTAATGTTTGTGGTACTTCTGGTATAGCAGCACTAGAAAACTAAGATATATATTTTAATTCTTGCCAATTGACCAAAAATAATATCTCACCCTTGCTTTGGTTTCTTTTCCTGATTAGTCACAAGGCTGAAAATTTTTAAATACCTATGGATTATCTGTTTTTCTTCAAATGCAGTTTGGTCAGGATTTTTCGTTAGTTTTTCTATTCGTTATTAAATGAGTTTCTTATTGATTACTAAAAGCTCTGTATATATTAAATATATCAACCCTTCGTTTACTGTATTTGTTAAACATATCCTTACTTACTAGTAAGGTTACACTTTAACTTAATTGTTGTGTTGTTGTTATGTGTCATCGAGTGGGCCCTGACTCATAGTGACCCCTCCTTGGGTTTCCGAGGCGGTATCACTACAAAAGTGGATTGCCCAACCTTCCTTCTGAGGAGTGGCTGGTGGGTTTGAATCATCAGCCTTCTGGTTAACTTAATTAGAAAAACTTAATTGGAATAAAAACAAAAGCAAAAACCAAACCTACTGTCATCAAGATGATTCAAATAGGAAAGAGTAGAACTATCCTTCAGGGTTTCCAAGGCTTTAAATCTTTACAGAAGAAGACTGCCTCATTTTTCTCCTGTGCAGGGGCTGGTAGATCCAAACTGCTGACATTTTGGTTAGCATCTGAATGCTTTAACTACTGTATCACCAGAACGCCTTTTAATTAGAATAGCTCAAAATTTTTTATATAGTAAAATGTGGTTGTTGTTGTTGTTGTTATTAGGTGCCATTGAGTTATCTCCAACTCATAGCTACCTTATGTGCAACAGAACAAAACACTGCCTGGTCCTGTGCCAGCCTCGCAAGGCTTGCTATAACAGGTGTTATTTTTTCTTCCATTGGCTTTACGTTTTAAAAGACTTTCCCCATCCTAAATGAGCTCTGGTAGCATAGTGCCTAAGGCACTTGACTGCTAACCAGGAGGCTTGCGGTTCAAACCCACCAGCCACTCCTCGGAAGGAAGGTTGGGCAATCCTACTTCCGTAGTGATAACTGCCTCGGAAACTCAAGGAGGGGTCGCTATGAGTCGGGGCAACTCGATGGCAAATAACAACAACAACAACAACAAAATGTGATAAAGATCAATCTTTACTCACACTCCTGGATTGCACTCAAGCTTACTTCATCAGGAAAACTGCCTCTGATTAGGCCAAATCTCTGCATCATTTTCCAAATCTCTTGATCATTTGCATAGTAATGTGTACCCATCATCATTGGCTATTCCCATCGCAGCTACATTGTACGTTTATACATGTGTCTATAAGCTTTCAAAGTGCAAACAAGTTTGTAAGTTGCTTACCATTTTACTCCCAGAACCTGGTACATACGTATTTTCTAATGTTTTATGTTTTCAATGTTTAGATTGAACACTTCAATCAAAACAGGAACTGATTGTACTGTAGGTGTGAAGAAAGTTTCTACGTTTATTTTTGTCCCACCATTTGTAGAATAATCCTTCCTTTCCCCATTACTGTCATGCAGACTTTGTCATATATGTATACATGTACACACATACAAAGTTCCTACCAGGCTGGAATCTACAGTTGGACTTTTTACTGTATTACATTGTTCTACCTATAGATGCTGTCAACATGACATTGTTTATGGACTTACATTTTAATAGGTGACAAGACAATCTCTTCTTAATATTACTCTTTCCCCAAATGTATTAGCTAAAATATCTTGATCAATCCCACCACCAATAAAATTCAATTAATTTTTGGAATGGAATATTAAATAAAAATAGTAGGAACCACTATTGTCCCTTTCTCTCTCTCTTTTTAACTTCATAGGTTGTCTTTTGCCCACACGTGCGTGCATCTACCTACTTGAGTAGTCCAGCCCGATGGAAGACATAGAGATCCTGTTTGAGGGTGCAGTTATTGAAGGGGACCATCCTCACGAAGTTCTGGATGAGGACAAACTCAGGAGTGAGGTGGGGCAGAGAAATTATGCAAAAATTCTTGTCCTAATTGAAAAACCAAGACACATGGAGAGAGAATCAAAAGCCATTTTTCAGATAAGTATTATACAAAAGTTCTTGCTATTAAACACTAAGGAAAATAGGATCAAAATGTGTTGATCAGGAAAGGATTTTCAAATTAAATTTTACTATAACTTGGAAATTAATCACATAAAATTCAGGGAAATAAGCAACTGTAAGAATATAGAGAAAAGAATTGTGTGTCTGGATGAAACCTGAATAAATGAATATTATGAACAATGGGACCTATTCAGCATAGCTCTTTTGCAAAAACAGATTTTTAAAATTAAGGGCATTTGCACTTGCTAATTCATCTGCTATTGCATGAGTAACTGAGGCAGCATGGCATCCTAGCACAGGCCCTTTGCTTAGTAAGTGATCTTAAACCAGCCCAGTCACTGCTCTGTGAGATAAGAGGGTAGCACTTCAGGCCTTATCTGACTCTAAAGTCTGTGATTACATACAAATGGATTTCTGCGTATTTTATCATGATGTGATTCCATGTGGGCAAACAGATACAAAAGTGTGCTCAAACTTCAGCAGTGGGTTTATTTAGTTAGCAGTCACAGAGGAACCCATGTCCTGATGAATTCTACTTACTAAGACCTTCTAGTCCTGTGTTATCCAATATGATAGCCACTAGCCCCCTGTGGCTACTAAGCATTTAGAATGTCACTAATGTGACTGGGAAAGTGAAATTTTCATTTTATTTCATCTTAGTTAATTCATATTTAAGGAGATCTGGTGGTGTCGCAGTTAAGGCATTTGGCTATTAACCAAAAGGTCCGTGGTTCAAGCCCACCAGCTGTTCTGTGGAAGAAAGATAAGGTAGTCTGCTTCTGTAAAGATTTACAGCATTGGAATGGGGGTCATTACGAGTTGGAATTGACTTGATGGCAGTGACTTACTGGTAATATACATGTAAAAACTGATAGCCAATTCAGTTATTGGAAAAGTTTTATGTAAGTTTGGAACAATTTGGGAATGTGAATTTACCTTACCAACCACAAATTTTATGACATTTAAATACAGATCAAGTATTTCTGATGAAAATTTAGCACTTGAATTTAGATATGCTGTAAGTGAAAAATGAGCACTAGATTTCAAAGGCTTAGTATGGAAAAAAAGAATGTAAAATAGATCATTAATAACTTTTCATATTGATTGCATGGTGAAATAACTACGCTTTGGATACTCGGGTTAAATAAAATATGTTATTATAATTGGTTTCACCAGCTTCTCTTCCCATGTGTTAAGATGGCTCCTAGAACACACTGAATTGTTCATGTGGCTGTGTCTGTTTCTATCAGATGGTGCTGCTCTAGGCCAGCTGTGCAACGGAAGCCTGCTTGATCCTCTGCCAGGTCCCTGCGGAAGCAGCTTGCTCTTCCTAGAGCTAATTTGTCCCTCTGGGACCTCGCCTCCTCCTGAACCCTGTAAAGGCATTGCTTGTGCTAATCCAAAACTCCTGGGACATTTGTGCAACCCAAAGGAGAACTTTCGGGGAACTTTGCAGTCAAGTTGCTGAATGACAAGAGTTAGTGCCATGTCATAGCAGGCTCTCTGTGGGAGGATGGAGACTAAATATAATGAGCTGCCTCTACTTAGAGTAGAAGGACTAAGGATGAAATAGTGAAGGTAGTTTGCTCCTGTCTCTCCCTATATACTGAAATGAAATAGAATTAAAATGTGAATGTGTCTTTTATCTTTTTAAAGTTAGCATCACTTTTGTAATGCTGGAGAATTGAGTTTACATGGACTTCAAAATAAGAATGAAATAAACTTAGGAAACTTCTATGTGGCATCTTTGAGGGATACAGGCTTTGTAAATCCTACATTCAGGGCACTCTGCATTGCTTTATGAACTTTGAAAATGCCTTAAAATTACTTCAATAAAGCCACAATGAAGAACATTATTGCAAGGCTTCATTATATGAACAAAATGAGGGAATATAATCTATGATCTGATGTTGTTGTTGTTGTTATTTGCCGTCGAGTCGGCCCCGACTCATAGAGACCCCTCCTTGGGTTTCCGAGGCAGTATCACTACGGAAGTAGGATTGCCCAACCTTCCTTCAATGTAATTAAACCATATTTATTTTTTCTCAGTATAAAGACAATGATAAGGAAATAAGATACTTTGCTTGTCATCAGTCAAATGAAGAAGTAGAGTCATTGGTTTTGCTTAAGTGATGGGCCTACTGTGGAAAAATAATCTTTACAGAACCACGTTTTTTCTCTCAATGGTCTTTCCTCCCCCAACTTTCTTCCCTCCAATAAAGGGGTAAGAGTCTGGTTGGAGTCTCTGCTCCTAGACAACAATGAAATAATGCAGAAGAAGGAGGCTGGCACCCAGACACAGGTCCCTTGCCTGCATGTGGGGCTTCCTGAGCTCATCCACCAAACACTAGCTAGGCTCCTCCACAATAGGTTCTGAGTTTGGCCCCAGGAATTAAAGAGAAAGAAATACCAACCAGAGAATCAACCACAAGTCCCTACCTTCCTATTCCTGGAAAGCAACAGGATAAGCTACAGAATATTTTGGGCCCATGTAAGTTATAAAGGAATCTGTCTAGTTTCCTTTAGCATAACTGATGACATCTTCATATAATTTCACTCTTCCTAATTACTTGATTCTAATAAAACGCTGGTAAAACTGTCCATAAGGAGCTATGTGGCACAGTGGTTAAGCAATAGACAGCTAACCAAAATGTAAGTGGTTCGAACCCACCACTGGAGAGAAAAGACCTTTATGCTCCCATAAAGACTGTTGTTGTTGTTAGGTGTCGTCGAGTCATCTCTGACTCATAGCGACCCTATGTACAGCAGAACGAAACACCACCCTGTCCTGAGCCAGCTCCAATGATTCTTGCTATACTTGAGCTCATTGTTGCTGCCACTGTATCAATCCATCTTTTTAGGGCCTTCCCCTATTTTGTCTACCCTCCATCTTACCAAGCATTACATCCTTCTCCAGGGAATGTTCCCTTCTGACAACATGACCAAAGTATGTGAGATGAAATCTGGCCATTCTCGCCTCCAAGGAGCATTCTGGTTGCACTTCCTTCAGGACAGACCTGTTAGTTCTTCTAGCAGTCCACCAACACCACAGATCAAAAGCATCAATTCTTCTTTGGTCTTCCTTATTCATTGTCCAGCTCTCACATATATATGAGGCAACTGAAAATACCACAGCTTGTCTCAGGCATACCTTAGTCCTCAAGGAGACATCTTTGCTCTTCAGCACTTGAAAGAGGTCCATTGCAGCCAATTTGCCCAGTGCTACATGTCATCTGATGTCCTGACTGCTGCTTCCATTGGCATCAATTGTAGAACTAAACAATGTGAAGTATTTCACAATTTTAATCTTTTCTCCATTAATCGTAATGCTGCTTATAGGTCCAGGTGTGAGGATTTTTGTTTTCTTTATATTGAGATGTAATCCACACTGAAGACTGTATTCTTCAATCTTCATCAGTAAGTAATTCAAGTTATCCTCCTTTCAGCAAGCAAAGTTGTGTCATCAGTGTATCCCAGGTTGTTAATGATTCTTCCTCCAACCCTGATGCCAAGTTCTTCTTCACATAGTCCAGGTTCTTGGATTACTTGCACAACATAGAGATTGAATAAGTATGGTGAAAGGATAAAACCTTGACACACTCCCTTCTTGATTTTACATCATGCAGTGTTCCCTTGCTCTGCTCTAACAACAGCCTCCTGGTCTATGTACAGGTTCCTCATGAGTACAATTAAGTGTTCCGGAATTCCCATTCTTCTCAATGTTATCCATAATTTGTCATGATCCACACAATCAAATGCCTTTGCATAGTCAATAAAACACAAGTAAACATCTTTCTGGTATTCTTTGCCTTGAGCCAAGATCCATCTGACAGCAGCTATGATATCCCTTGTTCCACATCCTCTTCTGAACCCAGCTTGCACTTCTGGAAGTTCTCTGTCAATATACTGCTGCAACCATTTTTTAATTCTCTTCAGTAAGATTTTACTTGGATGTAATATTAATGATACTGATTGACAATTTCCACATTCTGTGGGATCACCTTTCTTTGGATGTGATTTTACTTGGATGTGATATTAATGATACTGTTTGACAATTTCCACATTCTGTGGGATCACCTTTCTTTGGAATGGGTACAAATATAGATCTCTTCCAGTCAGTTGGCCAGATAGCTGACATCCAATTCTCTTGGCATAATACAGTGTGTGCCTCCAGCAGGGCATCCATTTGTTGAAAGATTTCAATGTGTATTCTGTCAATTCCTGGAGTCTTGTTCTTCGTCAATTCTTTCAATGCAGCTTCACCTTCTTCCTTCAATACCACTGGTTCTTGAACATTTGCCACCTCCTGAAATGGATGAAGACTAACCAGTTCTTTTTGGTACAGTGACTCTGTGTATTCCTTCTATCTTCTTTTGATGCTTCTTAAATCATTCAATATTTTGCCCATAGAATCTTTCAATATTGCAACTCAAGACTTAATTTTTTTCCTCAGTTCTTTCAGCTTGAGAAATGCTGAGTGTGTTCTTCCCTTTTAGTTTTCTAACTCCAGTTCTTTGCACATTTCATTATAGTAATTGGCTTTGTCTGCTCAAGCTACTCTTTAAAATCTTCTGTTCGGCTTTTTTATCTTGTCATTTCTTCCATTTGCTTTAGCTACTCTTCACTCAAGGGCAAGTTTCAGAGTCTCTTCTGACATCCATTTTGGTCTTTTCTTTCTTTCTCGTCTTTTAAATGACCTCTTGCTTTCTTCATGTATGATTTTCTTGTCATCCCACAATTGTTCTGGTTTTTGGTCACTGGTGTTCAATGCATCAAATCTATTCTTTTAGATGGTCTCTAAGTTCAGGAGGGATATATTCAAGGTCATATTTTGTCTCTTGTGGACTTGTTTTGTCTTCAACTTCAAGTTGAACTTGCATATGAGCAGTTGATGGTCTGGTCCACAATCAGCTCTTGGCCTTGTT